CACCAAATAACTCAGCACGCCGTGCTTTCCGGCTCCCACGGCTTGGGTGAAAACCTCTCCGCAGGCAAAACTTTGCAAACACGTCGCAATGCTACTCCGGGAGAGGAAGCCGGCACGGCTGCTAAACCAAGAATCCCCCACACCGGGATCTCCACCCCGGCCCTCCCCTGCTGCCAGCCTCCCTTTCCCCTTTAAATAAACATCCGTGTACAAACCAGAAGCCGCTCAAGATCTTCTCCCTCCCCACACCCCGCCACGCTTCCCCTTAAGAAGAGATTTGAAGCCCGCAACGACGCGGAACGCAAACACGCGTCTAACTCGCGTTGCAGAAATAGGTCGTGCGGCAAAGGCAGCCCGCGGTGGCGGCTGGAAAAAACTTTGTGAAAAACGGCAAAAGTACCTTTTGAATTCTTCCATCAATATCCAAATAAATACACTTGGGCCGGTAAGTTGAGGAGGCAGATCCCATCTTGCTACAGTTGGGCTGTCACTGGACTTTTTCCCAGTGTCAAACAGAGCAGGAAAATAAGGTTTATCCTACCAAGCCGAGCCACCGCTGCCTGACAGTTTGGTGTCCCCGCTCTTCTGTATCCCACTGTACTCTCATTCTGGGAAGGTCCCTCCTCTAACATGCATGTATTTTGCTGTGCCTCTGTCTCTCTCTGCCACCTCCTTTCAGTTTTGCTTCCTTCCAAATCCAGCTGCCTCGGACACGGAAAGACAGAGGCTCTAGATGCTGTCTGCGAGTGCCCTCTCGATTCCCATAGCAACAACCCCTCTTGGCTTTAGGGCTGAGAGCTGCTGGGCATCCGCGGTGCAGCTCTGACCCTGGGGCTGACCAGCTCCCATTACACACAAGACCAGGTGGCACTTATCCCCCCTCGGGGCGGGGGGCGGTGCTGGGAGTGTGGGAAAAACCCTCCTTCATCAGTGGGGTGAGAGGTGTCATTCATTTTTCTGCTGAAGTAGGACTGTAATTATTAATTAGTGCCAAGCCTTCTGGTGAGCCACCCGCACCCTTGCGAGCAGCATGACAGGCTTCCAGCTGTGCCCTGCTCTGGAAGTGCCCTTTCAGACACCTGCCACAGCTGGAGCTCGGACTGTCTCAGCCCAAACTCAGCAGCTTAATATCCACATCTCTCCTGTTATCATTGCAAGGATGGAAAGAAAAGGCAGCAGCTTTCTTTTTTCTTTTTCTTTTTTTTTCCCCTGTAACCTCTAGAAGCAAAAAGAAAGCATAAAGCCCATGCTCTTGCCCAACACCACCCATGCCACCCTCTGAGCAAAGGAATTTGTTATTTAGGGGAATGTGAAGTATCCTGGCAAAGGTGTCTCCCATGGGAATGCGCAGCCGAAAACCAGGAGGGAGCAAAGCATCCGATGGTTGATTCTCTGAGAGGATGCCAAATGCCATCTGCTGCGTGTCTGTGCTGTGCTGTAGCGCCTGCGCCCATGGGGAGCTGAAGCAGCGGTGGCGGGTGATGCTCGGTCACGGAGGGAAGAGAGCTTTGGAGGCAGCAGCTCCTCCGCCCTCGCAGGGGAGAGGCTGCCAGACAGGCTGCAAGCATGCAGAGGTTGGAAGCAGCACATCCTGCAAGCATTAGTTCTCGGTGTTTTCTGGTGGAATTGCTGCAAAAAAAGCTCCTGACTTCTTTTGTGCCCCACTCTGGGAGATCTGGGTGTGCAGCAGTGAGTGGGTGCTGCCTTCCTTGCCCACCCACAGGCCTTCACTGCAACTTGAGTGAGGCACAACCTGATCTGTGGAGGAGGCCAACGTGGCTACAACATGATGTGCAGCCTCGGCTGTCCCCTGCGATGTGCAGGCAGGGCTCGTTCGCTGTGTGAAGGGGATTTCTAAGCGTTGGCAGGGCTGAAAGGGTCCCAGAGTCAGGCTGGAAGCCAGAGCCACGCTAGCCTTTTGGATTGAAGCCAGCAGTGCTCTTAATGACCTCAGAGCCAGTGGCAAAGCGACTCTTTTGGAAGGTGCAAGCCTTTGGTTCACATCTCTCTTATAAGGGCAAGGGGTAATGGTTTTAAACTAAAAGAGGGTATATTCAGTCCAGATGAAAGGATAATTGTTTTTTTAGGATGAGAGTAGTGAATCACCAGAACAGGTTACCTGAAGAGGTGGTAGAAGCCCTTGGAGACATTCAAGGTTTTAATGAGACTTTGAGCAACCTGATCTAGTTAAAGACCTCCCTGCTCACTGCAGGGGGTTAGACTAGATTACATTTCAAGGGCCCTTCCAACTCAAAACGTGATTCTCTGTGATTCTGTAATTCATCTGTCAGCTTGATTATCACTTGTTATCTTCCAGGAGAGAGTCCTTGCCACTGTAGGGCTAACCCATGGGCTATCCTGTAAGGTGTCCCCTAGGCCATCCCCTAGGCTGTGTTACAGTCTATCCCATAAGCTGTCCTCTAGGCTATTTTGCAGCCTATCCCATGGGCTATCCCCACTTCTATTCTGAGGTGGACATAGGCTCTCCTACTGCAACAGCCCTTCCACATCAACCCCACTTCCTCTGTATTGCTTCATTCAGGACTTCTGTGACTGATCACTTCATAATCTGCTCTGCTAAGTCTTGCTTTAACCCCATTTTACCATGGTTTGCTCCTCAGTGACTTGATTGACCTTGACAAGCAGCAGGTACCTGAGGAAGATGGCCATGACGACAAAAATGCAACCATTTAGAAAAAGGCAACAAGAGCATTCACGCATGGGAGGTGAACATGGGGCCTTTGGTCTTTCAGAGGAGGAGGCAGAGATCTCCCTCCATGAAGACCCACTCCAAGAGTGGTTGGGCGAGGTCACTGTTGCATTGGGAGATTTGGTCACACATCATTGAGACTTTTAATTATCAGAATCTCACACTGGTGAGCCTCCACCTTTTAATTTCTATTTTAAACAACTACTAGCTTCTCCAGACAGCAAAAAGATGGGTTCTGAAATACAGGTGATGATCCTGTTCCTACCTCTCCATCCTCCTTGTCACATCCATTCTCCCTGTGTATTTAAATTATGTTTCTTAAGCTCTAGCACATATCCCACAGACATGCCCCCCTATGCCAAAATTACATTAATACTTGTAGGAAAAATTGCTTTGCTGCAAAATTGGTATTACAGTTTTCAAGAACTTTTCATGTAGAAGTAAATCTACAAAAGCTGATCTCTCAGAAATTATGGTAAGAACCTGATGCAATTTAAGGCACAGTTCAGGCTCATGCCTGAAAGGTGACAAAAGATGGTATTTGTCAAAGAGGATGTGCAGCTCTGTAAGATTGCAGCCTTCCTTCAGCTGGTTTAACCCTCCTGAATCTCCTTTTGTCACTATATGCTGTGCAACATGTGACAAAAATTACTTGGCTGAATTACCCGATCTTATTGAACCTTTCAACAGTTCATCAGCTGGAACAAATCACAGAATCATAGAGTGGTTTGGGTTGGAAGGGACCTTAAAGATCATCTAGTTTCAGCTCCTCTGCCATGGGCAGGGACATCTCCCACTAGACCAGGTTGCCCAAAGCCCCATCCAGCCTGGCCTTGGACACTTCCAGGGATGGGGCTTCCACCACCTCTCTGGACGACCTGTTCCAGTCTCACCACCCTCCCAGAAAAGTATTTCTTTCTAACATTTAATCTAAATGTCTGTCCTTTCAGTTTAAAACTGTTGCCCCTTGTCCTATCACTACATGCCCTTATAAACAGTCCCTCTCCAGCTTTCTCATAGGCCCCCTTTAGGTTCTGGCAATACAGTGCCAGATCATGTTTCTTCATTGTTTACATTAAAGGAACATTTTGACCAGCTACCAGGCAGCTATTATCCCCTAGACTGCAGGCACCATGACAAGTGTTGCATAGCTCTGCTTTGCCTTGTCTGCCAGGTTGTTTACCGAGGCCAACACACACCACTCTGTACACACAACCCCTTAAAAGTAGACCTGGCTTTCAGAGGGCTGAGAGGCTTGAGCCTTTGGCCTGACAATCTGGCAGTGACCCAGCCAGATGTCACTCCCCGCAGCAGGTGCTCTCAAGTAGTAAAAAAGGTGCCTCTGTCTCTTGGCCCCAGCACCTGCTCCACATATGTGGTTCAGAGGCAGCTTTATTAGTATTTCCAAGTTGTGACTGTAGGATATTCAGATCACACAGGGTTTGCCCTTGGCCTCACTCCTGTCAAGGCCTGAAACATCCACGCTGTCTTTACATGGGTCGAGATCCCCCTCTGCTGCAAATCCTGGTAAACAGTGAGTGTAAAGCTTTTGGGATGAAGAGGGCTGACCCAGCCACTCTCATGCAGGGCTGGCTTGGGGTGGCATGGCGCTATCCCCGGCCACTTGGTTCCCCCCCGGCCACCGCTGCAACTATGCAGAGGGGACAGAGAGGACAAGGCAGGGACAGCACCACCACTGCCTCTGCTCCCCTTTCTCATGGGCTGTCACCCTGTGAGGCCCCTCCGAGGAGCTGCCCCCATCAGACACGCCTTAAGGCGGCAATATCCTTTTGTGATAGTCTCCCCAAATCTCTCCCTTCTCCAACGCATCCCCATTAATTGCAGTCACCTATTTACAGCCATGGGATGGGGTTTCCAGGGCTCATTTCAGCAGTCCTGAAGTCGCTGTGCTCACACCATGTCACCCACTGCAGACCTGTCTAAAACCTGGTTTTCCTGCAGCACTCAAGAAATTAAGTGCCCTCTTGCAACCTGCTGTGAGCAGCTGCACATCCAAACTGGGGGTGCACAGGGTGGTAATCTTCAAAGGGATTTAGATGGGGAAAAAAAGCCAAATTATTAAACCTTTCAGTATGAAGAGAGGCTGAGGGAGCTGGGGGTGTTTAGCCTGGACAAGAGGAGACTCAGGGGGCACCTTATCACTCTCTACAACTCCCTGAAGGGAGGGTGTAGTCAGGTGGGGGTCAGGCTCTTCTCCCGGCCAACTAGTGACAGGACGAGAGGGCATGGCCTGAAACTGTGTCAGGGCAGGTTTAGGTTGGATCTCAGGAAGCCCTTCCTCACGCAGAGGGTGCTCAGGCACTGGGATGCACTGCCCAGGGAAGTGGTGGAGTCACCGTCCCTGGAGGTGTTTAAGGAGAGGCTGGATGTGGCAGTGAGTGCCATGGTCTAGCTGTTTCGATGCTGTTGAGTCATAGGCTGGACATGATGGTCTCAGAGGTCTTTTCCAGCCTCAACAATTCTGTGATTCCATGCAAAATCTCCCATTCATTTTTCCTTAGAAAAACATATTTCCAGGAGTCATTGCTGAACTCCGTTTCCTCACTGTCTGCAGCGCTTTGGCTCTCCTTGTCCCCTGTGACGGAGCAAGACCTCTTGGTGTCCTGCCTGCGGTGCCTGTCCCTGCGCTGCATCCCTGGGGAGGCTGCATGGGGCTGGACACAATCCCAAATATCTCACCCCACCTGGAGAGCAGGGAGAGGTTCCTGTAGTAGAGGCTAGTAAGGGGAAACTTTGGGTTTTGTGCAAAGCTCAGAAAGTACCTTGGTACCTGTGGAGAAGGCTGATTAGGCTCCAAGGCCGTATTTGGAAGTGTTTCCTGTGTTGCTGGGACTGGCTTGAGATGGGGATTGGCAGCTGAG